ATAGCCTTCTCTGTGTCTCAAATCTCTCTCTTTTTTTTTGAGACAGAGTCTCGATCTGTTGTCCAGGCTGGAGTGCAGTGGCGCGATCTCAGCTCACTGCAAGCTCTGCCTCCTGGGTTCATGTCATTCTCCTGCCTTAGCCTCCCAAGTAGCTGGGACTACAGGCGCCAGCCACAACGCCCAGCTAATTTTTTGTATTTTTAGTAGAGATGGGGTTTCACTGTGTTAGCCAGGATGGTCTCAGTCTCCTGACCTTATGATCCACCCGCCTTGGCCTCCTGAAGTGCTGGGATTACAGGCAGAGCCACCGTGCCCGGCCCTCTCCTTTCTCTTATAAGGACAATAATCACTGGACTTAGGACCCATTCTAAACTCAAAATGATCTCATCTCAAGATCCTTAATTGCAACGACAAAGACCTTACTAACAAAAACATCCACTGTATTAGTTTGCTAGGTGTATTTTAACAAAATACCACAACAAGTCAAATCAAGATGTCAGCAGGATTGGTTTCTTTGAGCACTAAGCGGAAGACTCTGTTAGGCGTATCCTCTATCTTCTGGTGTTTGCTGCCAATCTTTGGTGTTTCTTGGCTTGTAGAAGTGTCATTCTGACCTCAACTTTCATGTTTATGTGGCATTCACCCTGTATGCATGCATCTGTGTCTAAATTCCTCCTTTTTATTTTTATTTTTTAAATTATTTAGAGACAGAGTCTCACTCTGTTATCCAGGCTGGAGTGCAATGGCATGATCTCAGTTCGCTGCAACCTCCACCTCTCAGGTTCAAGCGATTCTCATGCTTCAGCCTCCCAAGTAGCTGGGACTACGGGCACAAACCACGATGCCTGGCTAATTTTTGTATTTTTTAGTAGAGACGGGATTTCGCCATGTTGGCCAAGCTGGTTGCAAACTCCTGACCTCAGGTGACCTTGGCCTCCCAAAGTGTTGGGATTATAGGCATGAGCTGCCATGCCCGACCAAAATTACCCCTTTTTATAAGGACATCAGTCATATTGGATTAGGGCCCACCCTGATTACCTTAACTAATTACATCTTTAACGACCCAATTTCCAAATTAGGTCATATTCTGAGGTGCTAGCTGTTAGAACTTCAATATAAGAGTTCTTAGGGACACAGTTCAACCCATAACAGTTATATTCCTAGGAACCAGGAGTTAGGACATAGACATATCTTTCAGGGTGTGTGTGTGGGGCGGGCCGGGGGGAGACACAGTTCTGCCCACTACAGCATTCGCTTTTGTTTTTAAATATTTTAAATATTTCACTCCCCTCTCTTTTTGCTTGTACATGGCTGGTACCATTCCAGAAGGAAAGTTTATTTATTATATACAATGGATGCCTTAGCCACTTTACCCTTAATATTTCAATGTGTATTTCATAGAATAAGGATATTTTCTTACATAACTGCAAAAACAATAATATTCAGGGAATTCAACGTTAATAAAATATTTTGTCTAATCTACCATCAATAGTCTAGTTTCCTCAATTGTCCCAGTAATTTTTTCCCTTGAAAAGAATTCTGCTCTAGATCACATATTCATTTAGTTGTCATGTATCTTTTTAGTGTCTCTTTCAATCTAGAACAAGTCCTTAGCCTTTCCCGGCTTTCATGACATTGACATTTTTAAAAGAACACTGGCCGGTTGTTGTTTTTTAACACTATATGTCTGATTTTGGCTTTGTCTGATATTTACTCATGATTAAATTCAGGTTATACATTTCTGGTCAGAATACTACACAGTGTTATTATATCCTCCCTCACAGGTGATAGTAGTTTTGATCACTCAGGCAAAGTATTGTTTGTTTCTCTATATATAGTTACTATATGCCCCCTGGCAACTGGCAGGAGGCACTTTAAGACAGCAGTCCCCAACTTTTTTGGCAACAGGGACCAGTTTCATGTAAAGCAATTTTTCCACAGACAGCAGATTGGGGGTGTAGGAGATGGGGAGATGGTTTCAGGATGAAACTGTTCCACCTCAGATCAGGAAGCTTTAGATTCTCCTAAGGAGCACACAACCTACATGCCTCAGATGCACAGTTCACAGTAGGATTTGAGCTCCCGTGTGTTCCTGCCACTGATCTGACAGGAGGCAGAGCTCAGGCGGCAATGCTCGCTCACCTGCTGCTCACCTCCTGCTGTGTGGTCTATTTCTAATATGCCACGGACCAGTACTGGTCTGTGGCCTGGGGACTGGGGACCCCTGCTTTAAGATCATGCAAATATCTTGTTCCTCATCAAACCTCTCCTCAATCCTGACCCCAGATTTATACCCATTAATGATTCTTGTCCAATCAATCTTTACTATGATAATTGTAAAATGATTCTCTAATTTGACTGTTTATTCTACATTTATTAATCAGCATCCTAGCATATGGTAAAGTCTTCCTTTTCACCAATTTATCTATCATCAGTATGGACTCATGAGTTCCTATTTTTTCAATGGTTCAATATTGTCCTTATTTATTTTGATAGCAAATAGTCCTAGATTTGGCCAGTAGGGGCCTCTTCAAGCTAGCTTCTGTGTTCTTTCAACAGGCCTTTATCATTTTTTAAAACACTTCCTTGCTTTCTGTTAACATTACGATGTTCCAAGATGATCATACCTTTTCTTCCCCAGCCCTGGAGACCAGCCATTTCTCCAGAAATCCCCGATTCCTTTTAGTAGGAAATGGTATTAGAAAACAAAATATGAGTTCCGGACATACTGATTACTTATCAGGATAAGTCTGAGTCTAGATCTGTGCTGTCCAATTTGGTAGCCATTACCCACATGTGGCTACTTAAATTAAAATTAATAAAAACAAAATAAATTAAAAATTCAGGATGGGCACAGTAGCTCACACCTGTAATCCCAGCACTTTGGGAGGCTAAGGCAGGAGGATCACTTGAGTCCAGGAGTTCAAAACCAGCTTGGGCAACATAGTGAAACTTCTTTAAAAAAAATGAAAAAAAAAAAAAACCCTCAGTTCCTCAATTACATAAGCCATGTTTCATGTGCTCAATAGCTACATGTGTCTAGGAGCTACGATATTGGACAGTATAGATTTATAGAGCATTTGAATCATTACAGAAAGTTCTATGGTTCTCAAGACTTTCCATAAAGAAAAAAAAAGTAAGTTCTATGGGATATGGAATATCACTATTCTAGACCATCGCAGTAGGCAAATCTAGGAAACACACACACACACACACACACACACACACACACTTTGAGTTCCCATTCTCCATTGCCTTTTAAATATTTTCCTATGTTCCACTTCATTAATTCTTTAACACATTAAATGATTATTTATTGAGCACATTCTATCAGATAGGTACTCTTCAAGGCCCTGTAGATCTGGAAATAAAAAGATACAGCCCCTATTCTCTGAAAACATACCATACTTTTTTCTGAGAAGTCAGAAATGATTATAAAATAGTATAATAAATTCCAACTTAGCAAGGTTAAAACAAAATATATATATGTATAGTATATATATATGATAATATATATATACCATTCTGGGGATGTCAAGGAAGGCTTCCTGAGAGAAATGACATTTTAATTAAGTTTAGAAAGGTAAATAATTATTGGGTTGACAATATGGCAGACAAGCTGAGGGTAACAGAATTTGCTATTCTCCATTACTTTTTTCATCTTTGTTCCAATTATTCACTTAAAATTCTTTCTTTCTCTTCACCATAACCTTCAAAACTCTGCTTATCTTTCAAAACTCATCTTTTCTATATATTTCCTAATACCTCTAACCTTACAAACCCTGAAATATACTGTCTTTACTGATTTCAGGCCCACAAAAGATTTGGTTTATTCTTGTTGCTATAAATGTTTATAGAAAGAACATAGGCTTTGGAATCAGATTTACTGCCTCAGCCTCCCCAGTGGATGGGATTACAGGCAGCCGCCACAATGCTGGGCAAATTTTTGTATTTTTCACGCTGGGCTAATTTTTGTATTTCTAGTAGAGATGGGGTTTCGCCATGTTGGCCAGGCTGGTCTCGAACTCTTGACCTCAAGTGATCCGTCTGCCTTGGCCTCCCAAAGTACTGGGATTACAGGCATGAGTCACCACGCCCAGCAGGAAAAGTCTTTTAATAAAAGCTAATTTGTCAGAATCCACATTCCTATTTATAACTGGACCCTGATAAAAGAGTTTACAATTGGTTCCTAATAAAACAAACATCTTTATTTTAATACAAACATATTTAAATAGATAATGTAATGATAATCAGAAACTATTAAATAGTAGTATCAATAATTTCTTTCCTTTGATATATTAAGAAATCTAAAATAATTGTGGGGGGGGAAGCATATCCAGCAAGAACTAGAGATAACTTATTTTTCCTTTCATCACAGCTGGTTTAGAAGTACACTAACGGAAGTATCCCCATTATTTTGTTCACACATGAAAAATATGTTTTTCAAAATGAATGTTTCTAATGAAGTATACTTAATTTGTAAAAACTGTAAGCATGAACATCTAAAATTGTATTGCTTATATTCTAGAAGAAGGAAAAGGAACACTCAACAAAATTAATAAATACCAAACCTAAAAAGGAAAGCAATGTTACTTCTTCCAAAATAACTGAAGCTGTGCAGATTTTCTTCTTCTGAGCAAATATTTATGAGACAAATATGTAGTACATTTGTGTTTACCTTCTTATCTTTGCCAGTACATTTTAAAAATCATCTTGACATTTCATTATCTCTCAAATTAGTTTAGGCATAATAGATTTTTTTTTTTAACTGGGGATGTGAGAAGTTTCAGAGTACACTGCTTGCAATGTTTAAAAAATTACTAAAGCCCACTTTAGTATTATTAACATCTACTATATCATTTATAAACTATATTTGTAAGTTTTATACATGTAATTATTCAAAATAAGTGTTATTCTAAATAACAATCTACATCTTCTCATACATGAAATATGCTGATGGTGAATCTTTGATCATGTTTTCTTCTCAAAGGCAGCCTTACCTGTGGAGTCCAGTAAAAAGTAGGGCTCAATCTGTAGAGTTTTCGTTTGTGGAAACTCTGAAGTGGCCTTGTTCGGGCTGATGTACTCATGAAAGTCAAGGATGAAGATTTCAGTCTTGTCCTGTCTTTTCTCTTTTTCTTACTGTGCTTCTGGTTAAGTAACCAGCTACTGGAGGAAGACAGCTCATCTAAATTCTCTGATGCACTGAAATGCCACGAAATAATTAGGGGATGGGAAGGGAATAAAACAAAACAAAACAAACACACAAAAAAGACAAAGAAAACTAAATGTAAATTGCCTTGATCTATTATGACAGAAGAGTATTAATTTTAACCAATTTTGTGGTAACAATTGGTAAAATATTTTGTATTAATGGGAAATTACATATTCAAGTCATGAAAACCATTTTTACATCTATTTTCTCCTGCAAAACAAATATCCCATAAGTTAGAAAATGCTCACGAGTTTACTAGTGTGATGTAATTGCTCATTGTAAATCAATAATTCATGTCAATTACAGTGTTTTAACTACACAAAATTCTTTTTGTGTATGATGAAAATACATAGATTACAGGTATTTAAAAGGGCTAAAGTCATCACTCCATTATCAGTTTCTCTTTTTTTTTTTGAGACGGAGTCTCTCTCAGTCGCCCAGGCTGGAGTGCAGTGGTGCTATCTCGGCTCACTGCACACCACCGTCTCCTGGTTTCAAGAGATTCTCCTGTCTCAGCCTCCCAAGTAGCTAGGATTACAGGCACCCGCCATCATGCCTGCTAGTTTTTGTATTTTAGTAGAGATGGGGTTTCACCATGTTGGCCAGGCTGGTCTTGAACTCCCGACCTCAGGTGATCCACCCACCTTGGCCTCCCAAAGTGCTGGAATTACAGGCATGAGTCAGTGTGCCTGGCTATTAGTTGCTCTTATATAAGCACTATATATTAATAACTTTTCAGTGAATTTTGAAACAGAGCTGTAACCCTACTATATTTTAGGATTTAAAAAAAAATTTCCAGTGCTACAGAAACAACTATAAAATAATGAAACAGATCACCTAAGCTATACATGAAAAGAGCATAATAATTTTACATTTATTCTTTATACATTTTTGAACATATTTAAATATTTCAAATATTTTATAATATCAGAACATCAAGAGGATAACCCTCATTGCCACATAAATTTAACTTCATTTACTCTATTATATTATATATACAATAATTAAGCTTTTCAGGCCCTACAAGGTACCAATTTCAACCTTAGTTATGCAGACAAAAGCTAGTCAATTTAGTATTCCAATATTAACAAATGAATCTGCTACTATGTGATACTGCTGTTCAATATGTAAGTTCTAAATATGCTATTTGGTAGAATTGGTGTTTACCAGTAAATATAAAATATGGTTTTTCTATAGCAGTATTGTGTTTGAATCATATTTATGGCTACTCTAAAATATTATATTAGCTTGTGGATAAAGTAAATAATTCAAGAATGCTTTACATAGTAATGAGAAACCAGAAATAAAGGTGTCTGAATGGCTTATGTTGATAACACTAAACAGAATAATTAAACATGGTATTTGGTGACTATCATACATTCAACAAATACATAATTGATTATGTACTACTGGCCAGACCAGTATAGAAAAAAAGAGTTGATGACAACTATTTCACTTTTAATTAAGTCTCCAGAGAGCTCTAGCAAGAATGCTTTAAGTCTCGGAAAATAAAAGGTTCTAAAAATCTTTCATCATGTTGATGGCTAAGAAAGATTTAGGGTATAATGCTTCTCTCAAATTAACAGGTCCAATCTCACAACTAGATTTTATTTTCTGTCATATCAAGGGGGAGCAGAAGGCATACAGGAGAGCCAGTATGAAGTTAGGCACTGAACAGGCTAAGTGGCTAGCATAGAAGGGAGTCAAGGTCAAGAAGAAGACAGATTTCAGTAGGTAGCTGGCATTAGAGGCAGTTAAGTCAGGAGACATAGGATCCAGGAAGTTAGGAGTAGATCCAGCACCAAAAGAGGTTCTTTGTCCAGCAAGTCAGAAGCACCTTTAGGCAGAACTTACACTGGCTCTTAAAAGACATTGCTCTAGAAGTGTCTAGGGAAAATTAAAAGCTTATTCTGGAGCCTGTACCTACTTAACTAACTTTTACCTCTATTTACAACTCTAGCTGTTAATGAGATATTAGCTTTCCCCTCCCCACAGAAGGCTTAGCCCAAAGAAGATGAGCCCACATCTTATGAAATGAAAGGACACAACTTCTGTACTGGCTAGAGGCTCATAGGCTGGCTTAAAGATAATTGGAAAGCTTATTATTTGTGTCACTACATGTTATACAGTCGTGTCACTTAGCAATGGGGATACCTTCTGAGAAATGCGTCATTAGATGATTTTGTATTTGTGTGAACACCACTGAGTGTACTTATACAAACCTAGTTGGTAGAGCCTACTACACACCTAGACTATATGGTATAGTCTCTTGCTCCTAGGCTACAAACCTGTAAAACATGTTACCATACTGAATGTTGCAGGCAACTGTAACATGATAGACATGGTATTAGTGTATCTAAACATAGAAAAAGTAATGCATTGCTCTACAACATTATCATAGTTACAATGTCACCAGATTAATAGAAATTTTTCAGCTTCATTATAATCTTATGGGACTACTGTTATATATGTGGTCCTTCGTTGACTAGAAACATCATTATGTAGTGCATTACAGTATATAATTTTTAAATTTCTAAAGGGGCTGACATATTATCAGAGAAAAAAAAGTTCAGTTTTATTCTTTTCTTTATGTTCCCAACTGCAGGCAATTTATCTTTAGATTCTAACACTTTCTAATTAATAAGGATTCTTGCAAAGTATCAACATCTACCCTCAAATAAATGAAGGAATGCATGAAAATTTAAAGATGTGAAATATGTTTATTTCACTACTAATCAATGTGCAAACTGCATATTCTCATCAAAGCTAATGTAGTACAAAATCATTTCCATAAATAATGGATGAAGGTTATTGTAAATGGTTATCGCAAACCACTGATAAATTCACTTATTTCACACATTAACAATAATGAGACAGTCCAATCAATGAACCTCACTGAAAGCAAAACATGAGGAAAATCCTGAGAAAATTTTGAGGAAGACAACACAAGTCTGATCCTGTGCCTCTGTAATCTAAAGCTTTTTCCCCAGGAGATGATGATTCAGGTAATTAAGTATTGACTAAAATAGGAACTTAATGATATCTGTAAGACAAGGATATCATTAATAAATCAATAAAAGACACCATCATCACATGACATTCTTTTTTTAAAAAAATAAGGTTTATCGCTTTTTTAAAATCTCTCTTTCTTTATTTTTTACAGACAGGGTTTCCTTCTGTTGCCCAGGCTGAAAGGCAGTAGTACAATTATAGCTCACTTCAGCCCCTGGGCTCAAGGGATCCTCCTGTCTTAGCTTTCTGAGTAGCTAGGACTACAGGTGTGCACCACAACACCTGGCTAAATGACAGTCTTTAAAAAAATTTTTTAAAGTCACAATAAGAAGAGGAGAAGGTCCAGAAGAAAAAGACTATTTCAATAAATGATAAGGCTTAGTGTTCCCACTGAGATGAAAGTGTACCTATGAAATCCTAGAAACTGAGGATGCAATAGGCCACCATCAAATATTGTTACAGAATAATTATCAAAATACAATTATTGGCTGGGCACAGTGGCTCACACCTGTAATCTCAGCACATTGGGAGGCCAAGGTGGGCGGATCACTTGAGGTCAGGAGTTCAAGACTGGCCTGGCCAACATAGTTAAACCCTGTCTCTACTAAAAATACAAAATTAGCCAGACCTGGTGGCACATACCTATAATCCTACCTACTCTGGAGGCTGAGGTAGGAGAATCACTTGAACCTGGGAGGCAGAGGTTGCAGTGAGCTGAGATCGAGCCCCTGTAGCCGGGGCAACAGAGTAAGACTCTGTCTCAAAAAAAAAAAAAAAAAAAAAAAAAATATATATATATATAGTTATCATTGTACTTCTGAAAGAGCAAGCTTACAAGTGGGAGAGAACCAGGCGAAGCAATGAATTATTGTTTTTTTTCAGATTTCCAACTGGATGCTGGAGAATAATAAAAATCTTCCAAATGATATAGTTTAGATCCTTTGGGTTGCAGACATATAACATAACTTGGTCTGAAAAGGAATTAAATAATTGAGGATGGAGAAGTAGTGACAGTGGGTTTCAGGCTTATACCTTTCTATATTTCCCTGGCCTCCTCCCTAATCCAAGCTATCTTGTACCAGGGTTACTCAATAACCTTGTAACTGGTCTCCCTCATCCATCTAGTCCAATAGACACAGTCTCTGCACTACTGACAGTCTAGAGAGGAAGACAGAGGTTAATCAGATAATCATGCAAATAAATAAAAAATTATCACTATGAAAATGCTAGGAAGGAGAGGTGAACAGTGAGTGCTCACCTTTCAGAGCTCACAGGGAATCTGATCCAGTCTTTGGAGGGAGACCATGCAGGAGTTCAAAGAAAACTTCCCCAAGGAACTGACTTTGGAACTGTCCATCCCCTCTAGTCCCTTCTATACCAATTATTTGGAAAGAACAATCTGATCCTGTCATACTTGCCCTGCCACCCTGCCACACAAACATACACACACCGCTTAAAATCTTCCAACATCCTCCCATTGCTCTTGAAAGACTTAAATCTTTAATCTTTTAAAAGGCCCTGATAGGTCTGGCCTCTGCCATAGTTCTCTTGCCTCATCTTGCATGATGCTTTCCTTTGTTCTCTGTGTTCTGATAAAGAAAATAAACCTTTAATCTGAGAAATGCAAGTCCCTTTAAATTACCAGGCCCAGAGAAGCATTAAAATGTGACATGTCATGCCTATAGTCCCGGCTACTCAGCAGGCTGAGGCAGGAGGATCTCTTGAGCCTAGGAGTCTGAATCCAACCTGGGCAACAAAGCGAGACCCTGTCTCTACAAAAATAAACAAAAATGTGACAGCAGTCATGTCTTGCTCCCCGCTTGAGCTCAGTACTTAACTCTTGAAGTCACTTGCTATGTGGGCTCTAGACTAATTGACACCAAGTAGCCATAACATACCATACACTAGACACCTTAACAAACTATAGTTCAACAACATATAGACAATCAATAATCAATGTTACTTTTGTAAGCCAGTA